ACAAATATCGAAATAATAAAATAATACTAAGATAAAATAATAAACTAATAAAATAAAACTGTTCTATAACAATATAATTAAAGCAAGTATATTTCATAATTAAAAAATAATAATTAAATTTACTAACAAAAATAATTTTTCATTCCTGCTCAGTAGGATAATTTGGCTTTAAAGTTTGGTTGCTCGCTACAAAGATATCAGTTATAGGGCAAATTCATTGAAGTTTTTCTAACATTATGTATATATTATTCCATCTTATATCCACATCAGTCTCGGGCATTAAAAATGGAATATTTTTCAACTCAAAAATTTTTTTTAATTCTCGAATTAGCGACGGAGAGTTTCGAAGTTTTTTGGAGAAATCTCTTGCCTTAGAAATTTCTTTGTTTATTGATTTCATTTCTTCTTCTACAACAATATTAAGAACATGGGTGCCACAACAAAAATATTGTATATCTGGATTACTAAACTTATTATTCATTTTTTCTTTTAAAATATGCCCTATCACAAGCATATTGACAGCATTATTGGTAGTGACCCCTAATAGTTTTTTGCCAATGCCAATTTCTTTTAGAAGTTTAATAATCATATTGGCCTGGTTGGTTGCGGTATGGGTTTCGTTAAATAGGATCATGTCAAATAAGATACGATGTATTTTCCACTCAGAATCTACCCAGTGTGCAGTTATACCAATATATAGCTGCTGGGTGTATGATGTCCAACCATCTATTGTAATTGAAATTTTTGATTGAATTTTATCTAAAAAAAATTTAATTTTATCTTTATTTTTATTATATTCTTAATCAACCCAAGTTGAGAGTATTTGGTGATAGGGGAGACAATAACGAGGATCAAGTTCTTGTAAAAATTTAATAAATTCTGAATTTTCGGATAATAAATATGATTGTTGGTCACAACCACCTATTTTAAAATTTTATCATTTAAATTGTCCACTTTATACTTTTCATTTGGACCATAAGGGTTGAGTTGTTAATATTTGATTATAGTGTATTCAGAAGAGTAAAAAGCTTTAAAATACTGATTAATAGTTGATATAGCAGTCTGGTTTCCGAATATTTGTTTACTTACTTTGCATTCATTACTTCCATCATCGAGTTCCTTAAGGTAATCTCTGACAGATACACAGTTTTGTATATGTTTGACCTGGTTTTTTTGTAGGTTATTTGCTCTTTTTCTTGGTTTATTTGTGCTTTTTTGAGAGTTATTTGTGTTATCAGAAGACACAGATACGATTTCATTGCTCATAGAGATTTCTTCATTAGGAGATTCCTTACTTATTAATTCGAATTGATCTGTTTTTGTAAGGGATTCAAATTCGCTTGTTGTCATTTTTTCAGATTTTTTTTTTTTGATTTTTTTTTTTTTTTCAAGGCTTTTAAATAAAAAATTTAAAACATTCATTTTAAGATATATTGCATTTGTTTACTAAGGAAGGCAATACCATCTTTGTTATTAACGATTTAACTAATTTTTAATACATATTGCTTTTGTTTCTATTATATGGGATATTTATTTAATTATTAATAAACTTTTCTAAGGCATACTGCCTTTATTCTTATTATTATAGAATAGTTTACTTTAAAACAAATCTTTAATAAACTTTTCTAGGGCATACCACCTTTGTTATTATCATTATAAAATGGTTTACTTTAAAACAAATCTTTAATTATTACCACAAAATTTAAAGACAAACACCAACAAGTATAAGTTATACTTCTTAATTAATAGTAATTTAACTTTTATAAGTTTAATTCACCTTTTATTATATATTTGATTATTAACTTCTTTAAAGTATATCGCCTTTGTCATTAGCGAGATACTAAAAAAAAAAAAACGAATGCTTTAATTATTGTATTAACACAAAAATTTAAACCAAATATCAAATAAAAGTTATATTTCTTAATTAATAGTAATTTAGCTTTTATTAGCTTAATTCACCTTTTATTATATATTCAATGCCGGAGAAAATTAACTTCTTTAAGGCATATTGCCTTTGTTATTAGCGAGAAAGATGATAAGGCACACTAGCCTTCAATGTCCAAATTATAACAAGATTGGTCTATAGCTCAACAAACTGAGTTAGTTGAAAAGTTTCTTTTAGTGTGAAATACTCAATAATTTAACTTTTATAAGTTTACTCACTTATTAGTCTATATTTTATTTAAAGCCAGAGATGGTTAACTTCTTAAACATCTTATTTTTCTTCTAAAAAGTTAGGTTAAAATCATACCTCATGTCACCAAACACTCAAACTGGAGGCCATAAAGTTTCAAAATCAAGGCATATGTCTTATAAAAAAATATTCTGTATCAATGGTGATTAATGCCAAAGGCAGAAGGCTGTTCTAATATTTAACAAAAGCAGGTTCTAAGATTTTTAAAGGGACTGAATCCAAAAATTAATCTGGGATCTAATTCCTATATAGTTCTCACATAATTTAAGGATCAAATTCCTACCAATCCTTGAAGAACCGGACCAGACCGGCTAGGATTCGATCCCAAAGGACCGATTAACATCCCTAGGGTAGGTGGAGGGTTGATAGAGAAATCATGTGTAGTGTTAATGTAGTTGATTAAATTTGGAATGTTATTAGGTAAGTTGATGTTGTGAAAGAAGACTCTTTTTGTATAGTATATAATGTTTCCAATAGTTTTGAGGTCTTTATGAAGTTGTGTTGCTTTAAGTGTAAAAGTGTGAAATAAGTTTTTTACTATATATTTTTTGTTAGAAATGTGTTGTATTGCAGCATTAATAATACAAGTATATATTTTGTGCCATGTTTTTTCTAAACTTTCATTTGTATTGATAGTTAGTGATACCTGGTGTCAAGTCATATTGGAGTTAATTTGGTTAGTAAAGTCTTTCCATTGTTCTTTAGATATTCATTTGTATTTATATATTCTGCGTTTATATTTGGACTTATGGTTGGTTTGTGATAAGGTGAAGGGAAATATCTAATTAGATATTAAAATATGATAATCGCTATGAGTTGAAGATAATGAGTTGTCAAGTTTAAAGGAGTATAAGTAGGGTATAAGGGTGTCATTGATCTAAATATAGTCAATTCTACTTTGGTATCTGGTACTATACCAAGTATTTTGTAAGTTATTAGTATGGTCTGCCAGGTCATACATGTTAGTATTATATAGGTAGTTGATAAGTTGGAATTTGGTTGCCGATGAGTTAGTGGTATTATTGTTAATATTAAAATTATCTAAAATAATAGGTTGTAGGTTGTTAGTTAGAGCTTGTTGTATCTATATAATGACTGTATCTTGTGTAGACTTTCAGTTAGCATTGTTAGTTGAAGAGAAATATACAGAAATAATTTTGAGTTTATAATCATGCTTGAAAAATAGGTCAATTGATATTGCTCCTTCCGAATGGATAAGAATTTTGTGTATATAGGGTTGGATATAATTATGAAGCATTATATATGTTCTCTCTTTGGATGTGTCTGAGTTAGCCTAATAATATCTGAATTGTTAATTATTGAAAAATTTTGTAGGTGTAGTATTAGCTATTTTGGTTTTTGTTAAGCTAATGATGTGTAGGTTGTTGGTGAGGCAGTAGTC